CAGACTGGCCGAGTTAGCAAGATGCAGTAATAGAATACGAGAGACAGAGAGAGAGAGAGAAGGAGAGAAGGTGCCCGGTGTATTATAGGGGGGTCCTCCGGCAGACTAGGCCTAAGTCAGCCTAACTAGGGGCTGGTACAGGGCAAGCCTGAGCCAGCCCTAACTATAAGCTTTATCAAAGAGCAAAGTCTTAAGTCTAGTCTTAAATGTGGAGACGGTGTCTGCCTCCCGGACCGTAACAGGAAGATGACTCCACAGGGGAGGAGCCTGATAGCTGAAAGCTCTGGCTCTTGATCTACTTTTGGAGACTTTAGGGACCACAAGTAACCCTGCGTTCTCAGAGCGCAGTGTTCTGGTGGGATAATAACGCACTATGAGCTCTCTAAGATATGACGGAGCTTGACATTATGTGATAACTGTATCATTATGTATGTATATATAACATTATGTGATAACTATCATTATATGTATATATAACATTATCTGATAACTGTATCATTATATATGTATATATAACATGTGATAACTATCATTATATATTTATATATATAACATTATGTGTAACATTAGAAGCATGAGATTTGTACACTTATAGCCAAAGACATTCTGATAATAATTGGATATGGAGCCATCTTGAATTGCGGCGTCCATGGCATGGAATTGAATGGCGTCCATGGCAGCCATTTTTCAAAATGGCCAGCAACAAACATTTTTCTTATGTGTGATGGATATAATTTGATTTTGAGGACACAATTTCTTAAATTTATTTACCACACCATTATGAATTGTCTTTTGATACAGTGTCACAGCCCATCAATGCATGGAACATTGGTAGAACACTTGCTTTCTTAGGCCCTAAGCATCTGAATGATGGCTGCCCCATCTATAATAGTGCAGGGGATCTTGGGATTCTCAGAGTACTCACTATGAACATGTTCCAGGCATCTCCCGCGCTGGCACATCCTGTCTATTCAGGTGCAGCTATCTAACTACATCTAAATATGCAAAGTACAATATTAATTAGATGTGGGGCTAATATTAGACAGCATTTAGGAAACTAAAATACACTACTACTAAACAATGACTAGAACCAGTACATTGATTACTGACTACAAAAAGCATGGCATTATAAAGCAGCTTGTATTTAGCTGACACTGAACCCCATGCTCAGTTTCACAGCAGTGGAATTGCCAGTGTGCCCTGGCTGTGTTTTGACATCCGCTATTGGAATTAAATAATTGAATGAAATAGGGTTCATATTGAATTGTGAGATTATGTTACATTAGTACTTTATTATGTAGCATATATGTTACATGAGCAAGTTGTTATGTAGCAGATGCGTTACATGGGTACGTTGTTATGTAGCAGATGCATTACGTTAGTACATTATGTAGCAGATACGTTACAATAGTATGTTGTTATATAGCAGACACATTACGTTAATACATTGTTATATAGCAGATACGTTACATGAGTACGTTGTTATATAGCAGATACATTACATTAATCCATTGTTATATAGCAGATATGCTACATTAGTATTTATTAGTAGTTATTTTTGTAGCAGATCCATTGAAACTTGTCATGGTTTGGATCATTATTGTGTTTGGGGGAACTTTCCAGATAGGAAATACGGCAATGTGTTGGTAAAAGCTGATCGGTGTTGTTGTTTGTTGGTGTTGAACCGCAATGTGCTACTTGGCAGATATCTCAGGTGTCACACCGTCCCTTCCCTCTCCTGACAACACAGCTCATAAACTACATCACTTCACAAAAGCTTGTATGTATGGAACATGTTCACGGTTTACAGAGATGTACAGTGGCAACATTTTCTTCAGGTTACTGGGCTGAATTTTGAAGATTACGGTTTTTAAATGTGAGTACTAAAATATTTAAAGTGGATTTACAGATGTTTGACATTGAAAGATTTGACCATTTGACCATTTAATTTAAAAACTTAGTGCTTGTTTTCAGCATTGATAAACTTGTTGGTGGCTAATTTATCAACACACAGATGGTAAATGGACCTGCATTTGTACAGTGCCTTTCTAGTCATCTAGTGACCACTCAAAGCTATTTTTACACTACGAGTCACGTTCACCCATTCACACACACATTCATACACTGGTGGCAGAGGCTACCATACAAGGTGCCACTCAGTTACTCAGTTTCAGCACAGCAATTTGGGGTCCAGTATCTTGCTCAAGGATACTTCAACATGCAGTCTGGAGGAGCCCGGGATTGAACCGCTGATCTCCGATTGGTGGACAACCCACTCTACCTCTGAGCCACAGCCGCCCCTATGCCAGATGGAGTCATAAGAGATTCATGAGACTTTATTTTATGTTTTATTAAAAAATGATAAAATAAGTTTAAAACATTTGAGTTTGTCATACATGGAGGGGGAAATCTAACACAGATGTGTTTCATATTTAAATTCTTAAGATTGTCAGCATTCACGAGAACTTTGGCGTCACAGTTCAGAAAAAGTTTTGAATCCCTGATTTTTTTTCCACGTTTTTAACAATCAAACACATTAACTATTTATAAACACAAGATTAAAATGAAAACAGCAAATATTGAAAGAAAATCACATCAAGCTTCGGTTGTTTCAAAGTTTCATCGTCGTGGAGACAAAAACAGATTTCATCCTTATACATGATAAATTCTTCCTTCACAGTCTGGTACTGTCGACTCCTCCATCACAACACGTCACTCAGTTTTTATTCTCTGACACTTTGAACTCAAACTAACGCCCGACAACATGCTGTCGTCACACAGGACACATTTTCCTACAACAGTATGATTCAACTACAAACTAGTGTTAATGAGAGCGGTGTCTCTGACTGGTTTGTCTGCTCAGAGCTTCACCTTTATCCTCACGGGAAGTTTCACAAATCTTTGAGTGAATTTCAGTTTGCAAAAAAAGTTTTTGTTTCCAGAAAACAATCCTGCAGTTTCTCATAGAGCCAGAAACTCTCAATGAGAAACACATTTAATGAGTTGTGTAAGTGGTAACATGTGGCATTCCTACATTCGTCAGACTTCAATCAACATCTGGAACCAGTTTTAACTTTCGTAAGAACAGACGACTCGTCAGTATTAACTAGTTATATAAAAACATGGGAGTCATGTTTAACTGTTTAAAGGACACAGCTGCTGAAACTATTTCTACAAACTGATAATCACACACTTTCACTTCTCAATGCACTGCAACTTTTTCTTGTACTGAAGTACTCTCACAGTGTGGTGTTTGTACTCATCTGAATACTTCTGTCTGAAGATGACACCATGCCCAATCTTGACGGTCATGTCTACACATTAAAACAGAATTTTATTCATTTCGTCTTGTGCTTCAGAACATTTAAAATTCACTCCTGACCTCCTGAACACCAACAAACCCTCAGTGGTAAAGAGAATAATTGCAGAAGTCCACAGTAAACCCTCTGATAACAAGCAGCTGTGGAATGAAACCTGGTTCAGTGCTAAAGGTTCAGTTTGAGTTTAGAAGGCTGTGTCTGAGAATAACAACCTTCAATTTTGTCAAAAGTGTCAAACCACCTATTTTTCCTCCACTTAGCGACTCATCGTCCTCCATGTTGCACTAGTTGTCGGGCAGCAGGAGAGATTGGACAAGCAGTCTGTGTTAATGGTGACCTGCATGTCACCAAATAAAACTTGGTTTCTGTCGCCGCTGCCCAGTTTCTTCTTCAGCTCTGTGAGTCGTTGGAGAATCAGCTGGTGTTCACGTCCTCTCACCAGGCCTCTGAAGTACAGCACAGCGACCAGGTGCTTCCTACTGCAGGTGGAGAAGAAAACACATTCAGACATTTTATTCATCAGTGGACCAGGAACGATGCAGCACAGTCTGTCGCTGACTGCATGCTCATCAGAACAACAAACACACTCCACCCACCGATGCCTGATTGGTTGATTTTGATTAAATGTCACTCGACTGCTGGAAGCACAGACGGTAGAAAATCTGTTTCTGATTACTGATTGATTTAATTTGATTATATTCTATGTTGTTGATCTGAATCAACAAAGTAGCTAAAGCTGTCAGATAAATGGAGTAAAAAGTTAAGTATTTTTCTCTGTAGCGTAAAGTAACAGAAAATAGAAATACTCAAGTACCTCAGATTTGTACAAGGTGTTACGGCCTCCATACAAACACAGAAATCATGGCTCCATAGGAGCAGGAGGCTGCAACATATAAAAGAGGACGCCACACCAAAAGTAAAAGCTTACCCACAAGCTTTATTTTTATAACCCAAGATATTAACCAAAACACAAACAACTAAGAGAGAAACGAAAGGGACTGGAGACCCCGGCCAAAAAGAACAGAAGGAGGGAAGACGCTGAGCCAACCACGCAGTGGGCCGTCGCTCCCAGCGTCTCCCCCCTAAACTACCTAAACAGGAACTAAACCTAGAATAAACAAAAAGACGAATAAAGAAACTACCGGTAATCTCCAGCCCAAACTAAAACAACAAATTAACACAACAAAACCCCAGCTCCTAAATGAGCATGGGGGGAAAACCTGCTTGGGGAAAGAAACAAAGGAGGAAAAGAGGGAAAAACTCCTCACCACCTGTGCTGGTGTCTGTGCCGTGTGCCGAGCACTGTCTCTACTCTCCCTGTCCCTCTTATCCCCTCCTCCTCTCTCTACCTGAGGGCCGATTGCACTCAGGTGCGCAGCAGGCAGAGGGAGGAGGGAGACAAGCCTGACAGGAGAGAGAGACAGCACAGGCTGCTGCACGTAACACAAGGTAATAAATGTTTATAGTTACTTTCCACCACTGCACTGAGTTAAGATCATGTGGTAACCTGTGTGCACCTTTTTAAAACTGCAGAAGATAATTCCTGAATTATTTTTGGCTTGATTAAAATGAACTGAGCTTTTATTTCTAAAGCTGGAAAATTACACTGAAAAACACACAAATATGAAGCTAGATAAGCTACCAGTAGATGTACACTTCCTTCTGCACAGTGATTCACTTGGTGGGTGTAGTTTGGTAGACAGAAACTAGTTCCTGCATGAAACTGCTCCCAACAAGGTCTGTAGATTATCTTCAGTAACTGGGTTGTGATTTCTGAAAAGATAAATTAATCAGTTTTACAAGACATACATTTTACATCTCTACAGCCCATATCTCCAACATCTCTAAAGCCCATATCTCCAACATCTCTACAGCTCATATCTCCAATATCTCTACAGCCCATATCTCTAACATCTATACAGCCCACATCTCCAACATCTCTACAGCCCACATCTCCAATATCTCTACAGTCCATATCCCCAACATCTCTACATCTCATATCTCTAACATCTCTACAGCCCATATCTCCAACATCTCTACAGCTCATATCTCTAACATCTCTACAGCTCATATCAATATCATCTCTACAGCCTATATCTCCAACATCTCTACAGCCCATATTTCCAACATCTGTACAGCCCATATCTCCAACATCTGTACAGCCCATATCTCCAACATCTCTACGGCCCATATCTCCAACATCTCTACAGCCCATATATCCAACATCTCTTCAGCTCATATATCCAACATCTCTTCAGCTCATATCTCCAACATCTCTACAGCTAATATCTCCAACATCTCTACAGCCCATATCGCCAACATCTCTACAGCTGATATCTCTAACATCTCTACAGCTCACACCTGAACTGTCAGACTGGTTAACAGCTCTACACTCAAGAGGAAGAACGTGTGTTTTTGTTTTTGAGATAAACTGATCATTTAAATTTTTGGGCATGAGTTCAGCTTTTTTTTTTTTTCATCCATCAGACCAAAACTGCTGTTTTTTTTAGTAATTCAATAATTGAAAACATGTAACTTCAGTTTTTTTACTCTTATTGTTTTATCATCACTTCCTCATTCTTCTGCTGAGTTTTATGAAATAGGGGGATTCCAGCACAGCTATAATATTTGGTCCTCTCAGTCAAACACTTCCACATTTACAAGAGGCGGAAACTTTTCTAAACTTTTCAAACTGAAATTAAAATCAGGATGTTGGTTAAATGTCTTCACTCTGGGTTTTTTTTTTCCACTTTGACTTGTTTAGCTTCTTGTCAACACAGAGACATGTGGCAGCACTCTGACATGTCTCACTTTCACAAACCTCCCTGGTTTATGAGAAACTGAACTCTAATGAGACAGAAATCCCCGTCTTCAACCTGGATGACCTCAGCTGGCTCCGAGCTGCTGCTGGTCTTAATATCATTAACCTGAGTGCTAAGCTCAGCGTTTGGTAAAAGTTTTTTTCTGAAGCTTCTGTTTGGGCTGGTTAAACATAAATATGTTTCAGCTACAGATAACATAAGCCCAAATCTTATGTTTCTTTACATATGTGACCCTTTTTGTCAAAGTTAAATTAATTTAGCTGAAATGAAACTTTAAATATGAAAACAAATAAACTCGATCTGAGAGTATGTTTTTAAGGTACGTGTACTTTACTGGAGTTTTCCAATTTTGTAGTGCTGGATACTTGTACTTCACTACAGTTATTTATTCACAGCTATAGCTGATCCCACCGTGTGCTGTGACTGGCAGGTACTCATTATGTTGGGGTGTTGAGAGCAGAAGTGGTTCAGATTTCATTTTTCATTTGTTCTGCTTATGTCGATGCACAACAATTAAATTCACAATCAGAAGAACTTTAACACATCCCCATGAAAATTAAAACAAATATCGCGAAAACTTGAAAGGAATTGGCGATTAACAAAACTGGAAGAATCTCCTTTAGTCTGAGCAGACAGTCTCAAAACTTATAAGAGGGGCCTCCGCAATGGCAGAGCAAACTATTACTCAGCTTTAATAGAAGAAAATAAGAACAACCCCAGGTTTCTTTTCAGCACTGTAGCCAGGCTGACTGATACCCCGTTTACACGTAGGAAAAACGCACATATTTTCATGCGGTTTGGCCTCTTGTTTACACGCAAACAGAGTTTTTTTCACGAAAAACGATCATTTGTAAAAAATTCCAGCCAAACTGGAGATTTCTGAAAACGCCGTTTATGTGTTGCCGTCTAAACTGGGTGAAACGGGGTATTAGGTTCTGAAACATCATAGCATGCGCCAGCAAATGCTTGACGTCATGTGAGCGACCTATGTTTACACTTTGTTTGGCTACTGATCATGGATGCTGTTAAGGTGGTACTCATTTTTACGTTTGTGCAAACGCTTTGTTACAGCCTTTTTCCACCAGATGCATGTCGGTTGCGTCTCCGTCTAGCTCTGGCACTCCAGAGCAACAGATACGCAGGACTTCTATTTTTGCCGGACGCTGGAGCACAACGCAGCAATTCAGCACAGAGCAGATCGTGTGGGGCAGGAAGTCGTACATACAAACAAAATAAAACATCCAGTTCATTTTCAAAATAAAATACAGTGTTCACGATGGATCATATTTCCCTGCACTACACCTTGAAAACTACATAATGGGCAGAGGCAGGCCTGAAGTCAACAAGTCAGAGGTTTTCAGACGTCATTTCACCCCGTTGACACCATAGACGAGGAGATATTAATCATGGCAGTGCACCGAGATGTCTTCCGGCAGAGCTGCACTGCTCCACACAGCAAACGCAGCCGGTGGGTATTGACGGACGGCGGAGCACGCAGCGGATAACCAGTGCTGCCGTTCCGCAACAGACACGCATCCAGTGGAAATCCGGCGTTTAAAGCGACATTTAGGAGTAGCTCCACTTCACTCAGTCCACACAAACGAACCTCTCGCCATGTTTACTGTTTTGAAAAGAACAGAAAGTTGTGCGTCTCATTCGTTGTTGTTGTTGTTGTTGTTGTTGTTGTCGATTCTGAGGATTCTGATTGGCTTGCATGGGTTCATCCTTCTCCCTACACTGCCGCCCATAGGTTTGGCATAGTTATGACGGCGCTCGACGGCGTATTTATCCGGGTTCATGTAAATGACAACATTTTTGAAAATGATGTTGTGTGCACGATGTTATTATTGAAAATGGAGGGGGGGAAATATTCGTTTCTCTAAATACCTGGCTATGTGTAAACGTGGTGTGAGAGTCACAGCTCTATTGAGCCTTGTATTCCTTTAACCCTTAGCAGTAATGATTTTATGAGCTTTTTTAATGACACAATTCTAACTATTAGAGGCAAAATTCATGACCTCCTGTCCTCAGATAGTACCTATCTAACCTCAAACACGGCTGTAAGACCTAATATATATTTAGACTGCTTCTCCCAGATTTCTCTTCAGCAATTGACCACAGTGATTTCTTCATCTAAATCATCAACGTGTCTCTTAGACCCCATCCCAACTAGGCTACTTAAGGAGGTCTTACCTTCAGTTAACACTCATATATTAGATATGATCCAGAGGTGTTAGCCAACTATAGACCAATATCTAATCTTCCCTTTCTTTCAAAGATCCTTGAGAAAGTAGTCGCAGACCAGCTGTGTGATTTTCTCCATGATAATAATTTACTTGAGGAATTTCAGTCAGGATTTAGAGTGCATCATAGCACCGAGACAGCACTAGTTAAAATTACAAATGACCTTCTGATTGCTTCAGACAAAGGACTCGTCTCTGTACTTGTTTTATTAGATCTTAGTGCGGCGTTTGACACTATTGACCATCAAATTCTGCTACAGAGACTAGAACACTTAATTGGCCTAAAAGGTTCAGCACTAAGCTGGTTTAAATCTTATTTATCTGATCGTTTTCAGTTTGTTCACGTTTATGATGAATCATCCTTACGTACTAAAATTTGTTTTGGAGTTCCGCAAGGTTCAGTGCTCGGACCAATCCTATTTACTCTATATATGCTTCCTTTAGGTAACATCATTAGAAATCACTCTGTAAATTTCCATTGTTATGCGGATGATACACTGTTGTATTTATCTATGAAGCCAGAAGAAAGTAATCAATTAACTAAACTTCATAATTGCCTTAAAGACATAAAAACCTGGATGAGCACCAATTTCCTGATGTTAAATTCAGACAAAACTGAAGTTATTGTTCTTGGCCCCAAACAACTCAGAGACTCTTTATCTGATGACATAGTTTCTCTAGATGGCATTGCTCTGGCCTCTAGCACTACCATAAGAAACCTCGGAGTAACATTTGATCAAGATTTGTCTTTTAATTCTCATTTAAAATAAACCTCACAGACTGTGTTTTTTCATCTCAATTCAATTTAAAAAAAAATTATAAAGCCCAATATCACAAATCACAATTTGCCTCACAGGGCTTTACAGCATACGACATCCCTCTGTCCTTAGGACCCTTGCAGCGGATAACGAAAAACTCTCCCCAAAAAATAACAGGGGAAAAAATGGTAGAAACCTCAGGAAGAGCAACTGAGGAGGGATCCCTCTTCCAGGACGGACAGATATGCAATAGATGTCATACAGAACAGAACAACATGATAAATTAACAGTAATCCGTATGACACAATGAGACAGACAGAGAGAGACAGAGAGAGACACAGAGAGAGAGACAGAGACAGAGAGAGATGCAGGACAGACGGTAATGACAGTAGCTTACAACAACAATAATGAAAGTAATAATATTATAATTATAGTTCTGGCTACTGTGGTACAATATGTTGAAAGTATATATTAATATCTGATAGTATACACATATGTATGCTAACAGTAGAAGTGTGACTAATGATAACAGCAGCAGCAGGAGGCATTTTGCAGGACCACGGCAGCAGCACAACCACACACGTCACACCATCCACGCACCGCTGTGATATAAGCAATACGTCATCTGCGTAACATTGCAAAAATTAGGCCTATCCTGACCCGAAAAGATGCAGAAAATTGGTCCACGCTTTTGTTACCTCAAGGCTGGATTACTGTAACTCTCTATTATCAGGTAGCTCTAGTAAGTCCTTAAAAACTCTCCAGCTAATTCAGAATGCAGCAGCACGTGTACTAACAGGAACTAAGAAATGAGATCATATTTCTCCTGTTTTAGCTTCTCTGCACTGGCTCCCTGTAAAATCCAGAATTGAATTTAAAATTCTACTGTTAACTTATAAAGCTCTAAATGGTCAAGCTCCGTCATATCTTAGAGAGCTCATAGTGCCATATTATCCCACCAGAACACTGCGCTCTGAGAANGTTAACTTATAAAGCTCTAAATGGTCAAGCTCCGTCATATCTTAGAGAGCTCATAGTGCCATATTATCCCACCAGAACACTGTGCTCTGAGAACGCAGGGTTACTCAAGGTCCCTAAAGTCTCCAAAAGTAGATCAGGAGCCAGAGCCTTCAGCTATCAGGCTCCTCTCCTGTGGAATCATCTTCCTGTTATGGTCCGGGAGGCAGACACTATCTCCACATTTAAGACTAGACTTAAGACTTTCCTCTTTGATAAAGCTTATAGTTAGGGCTGGCTCAGGCTTGCCTTGTACCAGCCCCTAGTTAGGCTGACTTAGGCCTAGTCTGCCGGAGGACCCCCCTATAATACACTGGGGACCTTCTCTCCTTCTCTCTCTCTCTCTCTCTCTCCTTCTCTCTCTCTCTCTCTCTCTCCCCTTTGCTAACACTCATATCTTATTACTGCCTGTCACTAAATCGGCCATACTGCATGTCACTAACTCAATCTCACTAACACCCCACTGTCTCTCAGATTAACTCATATCACAGCGGTGCCTGGATAGCGTAACGTGTGTGGTTGTGCTGCTGCTGTGGTCCTGCCAGATGCCTCCTGCTGCTGCTGTTATCATTAGTCATTAGTCATACTTCTACTGTTATTATACACATATGATTATTGTCACATATGTATACTGTCAGATATTAATATATACTTTCAACATAATGTACCGCAATAGCCAGAATTATAATTATAATATTATTACTTTCATTAATGTTGTTGTAAGCTACTGTCATTACCGTCTGTCCTGCATCTTTCTCTGTCTCTGTCTCTGTCCTGCTCTTGTATTGTGTTCCTCTGTTCTCACCCTCCCACCTGTTCTGTGTTTCCCCTTGTCTGAGTGGCTGACGTGGCTCCTGATCATTTGCACCTGGCTCATCTCCACATCTGACAGTCATCACCTGATCGCCACACCCTACTCTGCAGTATAAAGCCCGGCTCATCATTCCACTTTCTGCCAGATCGTTGTTTCACGTTCAGTGGTGGCCTACTTTAACCTGAAATTCAGATTTTGTTTGCTACTTTGCCACACTAGACGCCCTCAGCCAGCCACTTCAGCCCTTGTTACACTCCGTCCCAGTCACTATCCACACACCTGAAATGCGCAGAAATCAAGATTTCTATTGTTACTTTCTATTGTATCAGGTTTATTGTTTTTCTTCACTTTCTTCAGGCTGAATAAAATTCTTACATTCTTGAGCTCGACATCTAACTTCCAGTTGTTTCTGTAGGGGCAGTCTGTGGAGAAGCACCTGGGTCTTATAGATTTCCCCGTCCTCTTTTTCTGCCATTCTTAATTCTGCTGCATCCTTTTTTATTTTCAGTTGTCTGATGCCTTCTCTTAATTCATTTATTTCCGTCTTTAACGTTCCAAAGTTTCCAAAAGTTTTGATGCAGAATTCTCTGGTTTCTTTTATTATTTCAGAGACCAGGACCTTTGACCATCAGGTTGATTTTCCTCAGGTTGATTGTTTGTAGTCAGTCTGACGCTGTTTGTCCCTTGTGCTGGTCTGTTCTGACATGTTTCTCCAGAAGAGAAAAGAAGGCTTTAAGTTGTTCACAATGTCTTTTGTTAAATTCATTTCAACATTTGTAAATTGTTTGCAGCATGTTGTTGACAGCACCAACGCCAACAGCCATCTTGTTTAACCATTGTCTGTTCCTGAGGTATAGCATTAAAACACGATAATGTCGAAGTGCAGCTGACCTTTGACCTTTTGACTATTATTTTATCCTGTTAGACATTTGTGTCAAGTTTTGTCAGAATTAGTGTATGAATTTTTCAGTTATGGCCAAAAACATATTTTGTGAGGTCACACTGACCTTTGACTTTCAACCACAATATTCAGATCAGTTCATTGTTGAGTCCAGGTGAATGTTTGTGCCAAAATCTGAAGAAATTCTGGGAGAGATATTGTGTTTGTAAGGACAGGAGTGACAGACAGACACCATTAAAACATCAAGCCTCCAGTCACAGCAAATGCTGTCGCAGAGACATGAAACAACAAATACTGAGCTACAGATGTTAGCGGCCCGTCAGGCTGATCAAAACCACCACATGTCAAACACCTGAAGAAGGTTCGATTCCACTGTATGAATCAAATCTGTCAGAGTCAGAGTTCAGTAAAGGGAAGACTGCTGAACTTTTCTTGAATTGATTTTAAGGGTTTCTGCAGTTTATTTACAGAACAACAACATGAGTTAGTGATGATTACCTGAAGTCGGGGTAATGCTCCACTAAAGGCTGCAGGTAGTTCTTTATATCTGCCTTGTTTTTCTGTCCAATGAGGCCACTCAGGTCGTCTCCTACGGCGTGAAGCCACTCACAGCTCGACTTCTACCACAGAAAAAAAAAAATAGAATAAATTTAAAATGAATATAAAAATAAATACTGAGTTTAATTATGTTTTGGACTCCGAGTGTTGTGATTTTTATCTGAGCAACCTGAAACTATGATCAAGATTTATTTTTAGTGTTGATGGTAAATTAAACGTAGATAGTTGCAATGATAAATTAATCAGTGGGTGTGACACTGACTGAGAATGATGTTCTTCCTGCATCCATCACCGTCATCTGACGTCATCTGAAGTTTTTGGAGGCAGAGAGAGCCCCGCCTCTAGGTATCCAGGTAACGCTCCTTCCTTCCTTTTTTCACTTTTAATGCAAATTAAATTTCCAACAGTGAAATAGCATCCCAAAATATAAGTGCAGAGGATGTTAGTGTTTTGGCTGAGTGATATTGAGCTAGAGTAGACAGCCGAAGGAATGTAGCGGAGAGTAGCCGAGGCTGCAGTTGCCAATGGCAACCCTCCAGGACGTGAGCCAATGAGATCAAATGGAGACAGGTGGTGCTGTTTTTGTGCCAGTTTTTTCGTCTTCAGGTTCCCAAGATAAACTAGAAAAGACATCCGGGAGCAGTAGGGCTGAGAAGTCAGATGACCAGATGAGCAATTATTTTTGTCTCCTAATGGTCCTGACGCACCAAGCCAAAGGTCAGTCGTCAGTGAGCATCTGTCGCTCTGGATTTTGTGGCGTGTCCTGCACTGTTGGTACAGTTCGGCTGCTGTTTGGTTGATGTTGTATTGGTAACGGTTGGCTTTCATAGCTACTGGTTCTCTGTTGTGGGTTTGGTGTGTTAGGGTCTGAACACTAAACTGATCAGCAGGAGGACTCAGCTCTCTGTTTCAATATAACACACACTGAGGAATTCACTGCTTCAATTGACTACGTTTTCCATCAACACTGATCGGACGTCCACACAGACAGTGGTAAATTTTCCCACACGCCCATTACTTCAGTTTTCATTATCACAGCACGGACTTTTATTTTCTGGAGACCATGACTTTAACATCTCGTCATCACAAGTTTAAAATCAGAGGAGCCAAACAGGAAACCTGCTGCTTAAGTTAATGTAGAAGTTAAAGAATTAATTACCATGTCGTCAAAGAGATCACGGAGTTGTCCACACTGCACACGCATCTTACTCGCCGCCTTCTCGTGTTTCCGGTTCTTGCACGAGTAGTTGCTCTTCATCAGCTGGCCGATATATTCCCTCACCACATGGTGGTGCATACGATCCGCAAACCCCTGTCACCAGGTAACACAAACACACACACACACACACACACACACACAGAGGGGGGGTGAGGCTGCAGAATAACAGGATGGGCAGTAAAAAAAACAAAAAACAAAGGGAAATGAAAGTGTGGTCTTCTTTATTTGTGTCAGTCACATAACGAGCAGCCATCAGATCATCTGATATAATACCTCCACTTCCACCTATTCATTTCTCAAGGCTTTAATCCTTTCTGCAGCCGCAGCATCCGGCCCCAAACAATGGTGCCCACATCCATTCACTGGAACTTCCAACAGGCCAAACAGAACAGTAAATCAGGATTTCCTCCCCTGACCTCTGAGGTGATTTAAAATAAGACCGAAAAAATGATTTTTATCTGATATTCTGAATCATAAACTGTTTCTAAAGTAAAAACACACAAATCTAAAATGTCTAATGAAACCAGTTTGTTCCCATTTACATGAGTGGGATTCGTCTCACGACAACGGGACGGGAAATCTTTATCGGATTATGTCCGACACTGGCAGTGAGCCGTCATTATTAGGGGGCGAGGTCTTTCCTGGAAATGAATAGTCTGTCTGGTAGATGAAGTTAATAAAGTTCTTGGTAAATGCTGGAAATTCCTGTCTGTCTCTTCTTCTTCCTCACCTGTACATATGGGGGCCTCATCAGAGCACAGTGTTGAGACAGTGTCTCTGTCCGACTGGAAAGCTGCTTAAAGTCTTCATCATTGGTGAGCCACTTCCTCGTCATCATCCTCCTCAGGTACGGCTGGAGAAACAGGAAGCAACGACACAAAACAACTGATGACAGGGTGCTTTTATCTTGCCACAGCCCCATCTGCGTTATTCTCTACCTGTCCACCAGGTGTCCTCAGACTGGTCCCAGTCATCTGACCCTCCTCCCAGTAACATCGCCACCTCATTGTTATTCTCTACCTATCCACCAGGTGTCCTCGGACTAATGTTGTCACAGTACCAAAATTGGGACCCACGGTACGATACCAGTGAAAGTATCACGGTTCTGAGTAGTATCACGGTACCACAGCAAAAATGAAGCAGATGTGCCTTTTGTCATTTATGAAAAGATAAATCACTTTTCTATAATACATCAATGATATTTCAATGGAATAAATTACTTACTGACTTATTCATACTTCAACAACAGCATCAATAAGTGATTAACATAGGGGGGATCAAAATAAAATAAATAAATAAATAAATAAATATCAACCAGCCATCCTCCTCCTCCCCTGACAAGTAAAGAACAGTCCCTTCATAAGTAAAGAACAGTCCCTAAAGTGCGGTGAGGTTTGTGGACCGTTACCTGCCACAAAGAGAGAAATGTGAACGGCTCGTTTCTCCTCTGACACGTCACATACCTGTGTGCCGCCACGGCTCGGCTATTCAGGTACATCTGGGCAGTCATGACACCAAGAAGAGGAAATTACTGAAGCCGGACTTCTCCGTTGCCAGTAAGCCATTATCTTGCGCCGCGGAGCACTATGGCCTCCATATTCCTGTCTGTGACGCCCGTTCAACCCACAACCGGCAGGATTTGCCTTTCGTTTCTGCTGCTGGTTGAAATCTGTACTCGCACACAGTGTGCTCCTGAATGATTTCTTTTGCTCACACAAAACTATTTCTAGTCGCAAATGCGAGTAAAATGCTCGCCCTGTAGAGCTCTGTGGAAAACAAATCACTGTAGCATATATAAACAAATCTAGCCTACAAGTAAAAAGAAATAAATAATAACTTTCACTGCTTAAAGATACTCAATAGCTCAGCTAATACCTGAAATGTCACTGGAAAACAAACCACTGCAGCAGCATATTGAGTGCCAGGTGGCCGGCGTGCGCCGTTATTGGACAGCGCATGGACACTCACCCTCTTGCGATTGGACTTTGAACTTATCCCACAGTAGTGGTACTGTGAGGTACTGTGGTACTACGGTTCTCCAACATTATGGTATCATATGTCCCGTGGTGCTTAAGTGGTGTTTAACCCTATGGGCCCAATCGACGCATCGTGCGTCCAAATTCACACCTGTACTTGTCAGTAATCCAATGTTTTCACAGCGAAAAACAATGATAAAACTACACTAAAATTATGTATAACAGAGTTTTCATACAGCCCTGCACACACATTACTGTTGGATGGATTACTCGCGAGTGCAGGGTCGCACAGAAATGCCACGCATGTCACATGAAAGCGCATGACCAGAGGTTTCCAGTGATACCACACATATCATTGTGCTGTCATCCCATCAGGCTATAAATACAGATCAGTTGTCTACAAAATAAAAACCTGACGAATTTCTTTACAACCCATTATACAGATCTTGTTATCAGTCACTTCATATAGTGAGGAATATCGTATCTTACCACATCTTAGGCTTGCATGTGTTTCTCCCTGTCTATCCACATTTGTAGTCCGGCTTTCAAGATGCAAATATCTCCATATTGTCCAGTTGACACTCCATCAAACTTTGTATGACAAGACCAGCCACTTCACCTTAGTGCACCCAGACAACTGCAGCCTAATTATGCATGCATGACAGGGCAGTAGTCACCATATACATTGAGGGGGACATGCCCCCCCCCCCCCCCCCCCATGCCCAAAATTCCCCCCCAATATATAACTGAAACTGAAAAACAACAACAAACTTTGTTTACTGTAAACAAAGTGGCAAATATTATCTTGGAGGACATCACTGCACTTGGTTGACTATTTTTCTATGATCTTAGATGTAAATATTGCATGTTTCTTTCAAATAAAACACATTTTTGACTTGTGAATGAGTCAATAGAATTTCTTGCAATAATGAAAAAATACTGGCAATCGTGTCTGCCTGGCACAAACCACATGTTTTGGACAACTGTGAAGTGACAGAATGTCCCACCATCATGGTTCTTATATTGCCAGATTCCAGAGAGTCTCCCCTCTTCATATATGGCAGAATATGTCAACTTCCAACTTGCTATGGTGAGATACATGTAAAAATGTAAGAATTTAGTAACACAGATTTTTTTTTTCATTGATATAAAAATTAATATAAAATACAGGCACATAGAAGGACATGAATTGATGGCAAATCTGGTTAGCCCAGACTGTCCTGAAAAAACAAGATATAGCATGTGTATGTAGCCTTTATAATGACTGTGATATGAGCTTAAAAGTAAAGGCAGTAAAAATACTCCAAAAAGGCCTAGGGCCCATAGGGTTAAGCACCACGGCCTACCGTTGGTGCAAGACTACCTCAGACTGGTCCCAGTCACCTAACCTTCCTCCCAGTCACATCCCCACCTCATTGTTATTCTCTACCTGTCCACCAGGTGTCCTCAGACTGGTCCCAGTCACCTGACCCTCCTCCACCTGCTCACCTGTTTCCACTTCCCTTCATCGGCCCTGCAGAAACCTTGTTCCTGGTATTCTGGTCACCTGACCGTCCCCGCCCACTGCTCACTTGTTTCCTTAGTTAGTGTTCGTTCACACTGATTCATGTCTCAGCCAGACAAAATAACATTTGCTTCTGGTGGTTAATGAAATTCTCATCTTCACATTGTTTGGAGTTAAACTTTGACTCATCATGTCGCAGCTTCCACATTGATGGGCCAGCATTTCACCTCTGAGCCAACTATGGCCTAACAGCAGATCAAAAACTCCCAAACTCCATCCACACTGCTGAAACTCTGACAGCCAGTTAATGATGTTCTGATCACAACTGACGCAAATTCAGCCAATCACAATGAAGTCTGCACCGTCTCATAACAAATGAGCAAAACTTTACTGCAAATTTGACTTTTTAAAACAGGTCAAATCTCATTTCATCGTAGAGTCACGTGCAGCAAATCAATTCTCTGTTTGTCATGAGACTGATGCTGCATACCGCTAACTGTTAGCATCACACAGCTAAAGTTACCTGACACTTATTAACAGATTTAACAACAGAGTAACTCACAGTAACAGGGCTAACTGTTAGCATCACACAGCTGATCAGCAGTGATAGGCTGTTGCCTGCAGCCTGTGGAATCCTGTAGAGACTGAGAAACATGGACCACGGCCTCATTAAAGTGATTTCATATCAACACCACCTGAAATGTTTTTCACTGAGGTTGTATCGTCTCCAGTTAAACTCTGTTCTTTGAGCGTTTTTTGACTTTTCGGCAGTCTTAAAACAACAGATTTGGGATTTTGGGTTTTGGACCTGGGATTTTCTGGCTCAACACCTGAACTGAGACGAGTTAAGATCACAGACTGGAACGAGTGATGAATAATAAACCTGCATGCTAGCTTGGCTTAGCTTAGCTTGGCTGAATAGAGAATGTTAAGTTGATGTACAGTCTTGTGTGGATCGTTTTACTGTGATATGTGATTTGCTGACACATGACTGTGTGGACGTGCTGACGTATTGCGGTAAGTGAGTTGTGTCATTTCCGGTGTTTCTGTGACAGCGTCTCTGTACTGCTCTGGTGAATTCTACTAGCCTGCTTTCTCACTTCAAATGCTTTAACGTTGCTTTAAAATCTACTTCAAGTCTTAACCCACACTGGTTCTGTTTAAGCACTTATAGCTCTCCTCCTTTCTACGACTTTCTCGCTAATCTCTTAGCTGTTGTTATAGGGGGGTCCTCCGGCAGACTAGGCCTAAGTCAGCCTAACTAGGGGCTGGACTAGCACAGTGTTCTGGTGGGATCATATGGCACTATGAGCTCTCTAAGATATGATGGAGCTTCACCATTTAGAGCTTTATAAGTTAACAGTAGAATTTTAAATAGATATTAATACATACATTCAACATATTGTACCACAGTAGCCAGAACTATAATTATAATATTATTACTTTCAATAATGTTGTTGTAAGCTACTGTCATTACCTGCATCTCTCTCTCTCTCTTTCTCTCTCTCTCTCTCTGTCTCTGTCTCTCTCTCTCTCTCTCTCTCTCTCTGTCTCATTGTGTTATACGGATTACTGTTAATTTATTATGCTGATCTGTTCTGTACGACATCTATTGCACGTCTGTCCGTCCTGGAAGAGGGATCCCTCCTCAGTTGCTCTTCCTGAGGTTTCTACCATTTTTTTTCCCCCTGTTAAAGGGTTTTTTTTGGGGAGTTTTTCCTGATCAGCTGTGAGGGTCCTAAGGACAGAGGGATGTCGTATGCTGTAAAGCCCTGTGAGGCAAATTGTGATTTGTGATATTGGGCTTTATAAATAAATGATTGATTGATTGATTGATTGATTGTCTTGTCTTGTCTCGTCTTGACTTACAGTAACTGACTGCCCTTGGACAGATATCCTGGTACTGTCTGGTCTTGTCTCATCCCGTCTCGTCTTACAGTAACTGACTCAAAAGCATCGCCACCAGACTCAAAAGTCTGGTGGTGATGGTTAAATAGTTTATATAAATACAGTCTTGTCTTGTCTCGTCTTGTCTTACAGTAACTGACTGCCCTTGGACAGGTATCCTGGTACTGTCTGGTCTTGTCTCATCCCGTCTCGTCTTACAGTAACTGACTCAAAAGCATCAAATATAGTGTCAAGAACTTGGTGTTCTTTTTTCAGTTCCTCTGTTATAAAACTACAAAACAACATGGCCGCTCTCTGATATAATAATACTGATGTGTGACTATACCTTGACCTCCTCTTTGAACTGCTCCTCCAGCTCCTGTATGAGTCTAATGATCAGACATTCTGCCTCTTTTCTGAAGGCTCTCACTTCCTGTGGACTGGTGTCCTTATAGACGTCCATGTGCTCCCTGCAGGAGGACAAACAGCATCACTGATGGAGGTTATCATGTATCATTTTACTGTACTGCAGTATTTTTACATCATCGTACTGAAGACTGTCGTACTTTTACTTAAATGTAACTTCAATATTTTTAACCTGAACCGTGTTCTCACATGTTGTGCTATGAATACAGTCTGGTGGTGATGTTTAAATAGTTTATATAAATATAGTCTGGTGGTGATGGTTAAATAGTTTATATAAATAAAGTCTGGTGGTGATGGTTAAATAGTTTATATAAATACAGTCTGGTGGTGATGGTTAAATGAGTATATATAAATACAGTCTGGTGGTGATGGTTAAATAGTTTATATAAATATAGTCTGGTGATGATGGTTAAATAGTTTATATAAATAAAGTCTGGTGGTGATGGTTAAATAGTTTATATAAATACAGTCTGGTGGTGATGGTTAAATGAGTATATATAAATACAGTCTGGTGGTGATGGTTAAATAGTTTATATAAATATAGTCTGGTGATGATGGTTAAATGGTTTATATAAATAAAGTCTGGTGGTGATGGTTAAATAGTTTATATAAATACAGTCTGGTGGTGATGGTTAAATGAGTATATATAAATACAGTCTGGTGGTGATGGTTAAATAGTTTATATAAATACAGTCTGGTGATGATGGTTAAATGAATTCATATAAATACAGTCTGGTGGTGATGGTTAAATGGTTTATATAAATACAGTCTGGTGGTGATGGTTAAATAGTTTATATAAATACAGTCTGGTTCGGTGATGGTTAAATGGTTTATATAAATACAGTCTGGTGATGATGGTTAAATAGTTTATATAAATAAAGTGTGGTGGTCATGGTTAAATAGTTTATATAAATAAAGTCTGGTGATGATGGTTAAATAGTTTATATAAATACAGTCTGGTGGTGATGGTTAAATGAGTATATATAAATACAGTCTGGTGGTGATGGTTAAATAGTTTATATAAATACAGTCTGGTGGTGATGGTTAAATGAGTATATATAAATACAGTCTGGTGGTGATGGTTAAATAGTTTATATAAATAAAGTCTGGTGATGATGGTTAAATAGTTTATATAAATACAGTCAGGTTGATGGTTAAATAGTTTACATAAATACAGTCTGGTGGTGATGGTTAAATGAGTATATATAAATACAGTCTGGTGGTGATGGTTAAATAGTTTATATAAATACAGTCTGGTGGTGATGGTTAAATGAGTATATATAAATACAGTCTGGTGATGATGGTTAAATAGTTTATATAAATACAGTCTGGTGATGATGGTTAAATAGTTTATATAAATACAGTCAGGTTGATGGTTAAATAGTTTACATAAATACAGTCTGGTGGTGATGGTTAAATGAGTATATATAAATACAGTCTGGTGGTGATGGTTAAATAGTTTATATAAATACAGTCTGGTGGTGATGGTTAAATGAGTATATATAAATACAGTCTGGTGATGATGGTTAAATAGTTTATATAAATACAGTCTGGTGGTGATGGTTAAATGAGTATATATAAATACAGTCTGGTGATGATGGTTAAATAGTTTATATAAATACAGTCTGGTGGTGATGGTTAAATGAGTATATATAAATACAGTCTGGTGATGATGGTTAAATAGTTTATATAAATAAAGTCTGGTGATGATGGTTAAATAGTTTATATAAATACAGTCAGGTTGATGGTTAAATAGTTTACATAAATACAGTCTGGTGGTGATGGTTAAATGAGTATATATAAATACAGTCTGGTGGTGATGGTTAAATAGTTTATATAAATACAGTCTGGTGGTGATGGTTAAATGAGTATATATAAATACAGTCTGGTGATGATGGTTAAATAGTTTATATAAATACAGTCTGGTGGTGATGGTTAAATGAGTATATATAAATACAGTCTGGTGATGATGGTTAAATAGTTTATATAAATACAGTCTGGTGGTGATGGTTAAATGAGTATATATAAATACAGTCTGGTGATGATGGTTAAATAGTTTATATAAATACAGTCTGGTGGTGATGGTTAAATGAGTATATATAAATACAGTCTGGTGATGATGGTTAAATAGTTTATATAAATACAGTCTGGTGGTGATGGTTAAATGAGTATATATAAATACAGTCTGGTGATGATGGTTAAATAGTTTATATAAATAAAGTCTGGTGATGATGGTTAAATGAATTCATATAAATACAGTCTGGTGGTGATGGTTAAATAGTTTATATAAATACAGTCTGGTTTGGTCATGGTTAAATAGTTTATATAAATAAAGTGTGGTGGTGGTGATGGTTAAATAGTTTATATAACAGTCTGGTGATGATGGCTAAATAGTTTATATAAATACAGTCTTATAGTGATGGTGTTCTGATGAGCTGAAGACAGTTTTTAACCCTGACAAACAATAAACTTTAGTTTGAGCTTTTATTCTGAAGGTAAAAACAACACAGAGGCATTACTTCCTGCTAGCTTAGCACATGTCTGAACAGGCTGTATGTTGTTGTGCAGCCGTGGCAGTGAAACAGGAAGCTCCTGCTGAGTGAATGACAGATTGTGGTTTTGGAGGCGTGCTGAGTTCGTTGGTTCATTATGGTGCCTCATGGGTAATTTCAGGAAGTCATGTGACTTACTGTAAAGCAGTGAAGCTGTTGATGTATGTAATATGATACTGTGTCCAGAGAGGCTGTGGTCTGACAGCGCTGCAGAGATGCCTGAACTCTGTCTCAAACCTGGAAAGACGAGGAGACACAGATCAGTTTCTTACACTCACTTCCTGTTTAGATGGGACTGAACGGAGACAAGCCTCCGGGGGGATGGGCAGAATAGCAAGAACACAGAGTTTAACATAAAACATCCTGTCATCAGTTCAGAGACAGTCTGCAACGTAACGAAGCACAAGTACTCAACAGTCTGGAGGCACTTTTACTTCAGTGGAGTATTTTCATTTTATACCTTACAACATCCCAGAGAGAGGTTTTACTCTTTATTTATCAAACAGCTTCAGTTCAGTCACAGATCCAAATTATTGATATTAAATATATTTTGAATTAAATATATTTTATATGAATAAATATAAACAAACTTATAAATACTGATGTTTTACTGGCCCAGCAGTCATTAAAATGAACCTTCGTCAGCTGCAACATTAAACTGATCAACACATTCATGCATCAATAATTAATATAACCTCCTAAAACAGGCCTTTATGCATGATGAGTGCTTCTATTTTACTTTGATGCTAATTCTATAATAGTGTGTCAGATTCAGGGGGTTACTGATTACTGATTACTGATTACAACCACCTGAAACTTCTCCTGGTTAGAGTTCAGTCAGTATTGAGGAGCTGATTTACACCAGGAAAAATAATCTGGAGGAGCTGAGTGTGAATACGTCTTACATTTAAGACTAGACTTAAGACTTTCCTCTTTGATAAAGCTTATAGTTAGGGCTGGCTCAGGCTTGCCCTGTACCAGCCCCTAGTTAGGCTGACTTAGGCCTAGTCTGCCGGAGGACCCCCCTATAATACACTGGGCACCTTCTCTCCTTCTCTCTCTCTCTCTCTCTCTCTCTCTCTCTCGTATTCTATTACTGCATCTTGCTAACTCGGCCATTCTGGATGTCACTAACTCGGCTTCTTCTCCGGAGCCTTTGTGCTCCACTGTCTCTCAGATTAACTCATATC